GGGGGGGGGGGGCGCAAAAATTTACAAGTCCACAAAAGAGGTCACTTTCACCCTGGGAGGGGTGCCCAAAAGGTATACTTTTTAATAACAGGCTCCTAGGAAAATACTGGTTTTACTCCAGCCCACTCGAGGCCAAGATTGCTTTGTGACTTTCAGAAGGGCATCTACTCTCATTTTCTTGGTTACTGATCTTGGACACATGACGAGGTCACCATGAGTCTTTTGGTCCATCAGTGCTACGCTTAACTTTCAGGTCAGCAAAAACTGTTAAAGAAAAATTATCCATGACATTTGTTAAAAGGCTCACATTGCCTCTTCTTCTGCCTCAAGTTTCCCTCTGCCTCTCTCTTATGAGTACACTTGAGACTGCACTTCTGGCCCACCAGGATAATCTTCTCAGATCCAGATTCTTCACTTAGTCACACCTGCAAAGTCTCTTTTGCCATATAAGGTGACATTCACAGGTTCCAGGGATTCGAATCTAGATATCTTTGGGGCCATTACTCACCCTACCACACAAGCTAAAGCAAAAGGAACACAGCAACCTGTCATAAAGAGAAAGGCCCATAGGACCCCACTGTCTCTAAAGATTATCACAGGAAATAGTTTGGGCCAAATTTTTCTACATTTCTTTCTATGCATATACTCACAGATATATTTCTTTTATTTCCTTTCCTTTTAAAAATCAAAAATGGGATAACTTCCTACACAGTCCAGCAATTTGTCTTTTTCATTTAATAATGTGTCTTTGCAGTAAGCTCTTTAAGAGCAAAAGGGATTTACTTTCATGCTGCTGACTTCTTTGATGTAAAAATAGCAACTTTCCAGTAAAGCAAGTGACTTTTAAAAAAATTCCATCTGAAATAATCTCCTAGAAATGTCAATGTTTTAATTCATAAGAGAAAAGAGATTTTGAACCAAAATAAAAGTAGAGGCTACTTAGAACTTAGTATTTTGGGGAGATTAGAGAAAGGGCCCTCTTGTTATACATGGATACAGCATGACATACCTGAAGGCTAAATGTCTTGAAGTGGGGCCTGTTATTGTGAGAGTCAGTGCCTCTATGGTATCAGTTTATTTATTTTCAAATATATCTTTATTGATTTCAGAGAGAGGAAGGGAGAGGGAGAGAGAGAGAAACATCAATGATGAGAGAACCATTGATCGGCTGCAGCCCACAACCTGGGCATGTGCCCTGACCGGGAATCCAACCCTGATTGCCTGGATCCTAGGTCGACGACGCTTAACCACTGAGCCACGCCCGGCTGGGCTATGGTATCAGTTTAAATTAAGCATTGGTGCAACCTTAGGCAAGCTGTATCCAGTCTCTGGGCATCAGTGTCCTCACTTTTGAAGTGAGGGTGTTGGACTGGAAGTTTTCTAAGCTCCCAATGATCTTCCAGTCTGAAATTTGGAAGCGTACTATTCTAGCAGGCTAGAGACCCCGTTTGGATACCAAACCTTTTACTAACTTGCTATGACCTTGAGCTAGACAGTCAGCTCCGCTGGGCCTCAGTTTATTCATCTGTAAAATGAACAGTCTGGGCTAGAGTGTTCTCAAGATCCCAGTTCTCACATTCTAAGACAGTGAGCCTCAAGCTTCAATGTGCCTAAGAACTGCCCCCCTGGGGATTTTGTTAAAGAGCAGAGTCTGATTCAGCAGGTCTGGGGTGGTGTCTGAGATTCTATATTTCTAGCAAGTTCCCAGGTAAGGCAGGTTAGTCTGGAGACCGCACTTTGAATAACAAAGCATTTGGATTTTGAAACGTCAGGAAACTGTTAGGGACTTGGAAACTGGCGAAAGATGACTGCGTGCCTGGTGGAGCGCTGGCCTGGGATTAGCTGGTGCGATGCCGGGCGTACACCTTTGCTTGTCTTTTTTTTCAGCTCTGTCAGAGCAGATGTGAACTATGAATAGTAACGGGATGAATTTTGTTTAATAGAGGCACAACTTATTTCTGCCCTGCAGAAAAAGATAGCTCCCCAGCATCCCTTTTACTTGTCCTATAGGATATCAAGCCCTCTGCACAATCAGCAGATTCATCCCACTATTCCTGACTGTCCACCTGCATGTGTGCTTCAAAATCTCTTCTCACCAGGTTTCACCTTTCTGAAAATTATACCTTCACATCACGGGTCCTTTGCAATTCATTCATCCATTCATTCATTTATTTATAGCAAGAAACTTGCGGGAGTGGGGAAGGTTACGGGGTGGGAAACACACTCCTCTAGGAAAGCGGGTGGGTGCTCGGGGGTCCTGCTTTCCCAGCTGAGGAGGTCCGTGT